GATGTCGAACATGATGTAAAAAACCTTTATATCTCATTCTTTACTAAATCTTTTGACCACTTTCCTGCACCCAAAAATATAGAAACTAAACCTAAATGGGTTCACCCTACTTTAGACTTTTCTATTTTTGATCTGAACAAACAATATACTGCTACATTTCAAAAACCTACACAAACTCCTTTCTTCATCAGCTTGCTTACAAAACTGAAGAACAATTCCTTCATTTAAATTCACTTAAGCAAAAAGACTCAAATTAATCATGACTTAGTTTTTATGTTTATAGCTATTTTAATGTATACAACAAGGCTGCAGCTATTAATAATCAAATTCACAATATCCAACCACACATAGCAATTGAAAAGCTAACCTCAAACCAACTGATACTAATTTCTTGGCCAGAGTACTTACCTACTTTCATATTTTAAAACCAGAAAAACTCTCAATTAGCTCTATTTGCCAAGCATACAATGGAAGATTCTTTCATGAAGCAGAAAAAATTCTGTTCAACAAATTCAAAATACAATTCAACAAACCCAATACTAAAAACATGCTCTATCAATGGCTGCAAAAACTATCTACCAAACCTACTACAACTCAACCAAATCCTAATAACCCTTATCTTAATACACTATTATCTCATCAAACACCAAATACAACTACAAACTTAGATGATGATACTATTATGATAGATCCTAATACAGAAGAGAATACTGCAACTTCTAATCCTACACAAGATCTCAATTCTCATATTACTATATAATCATTCAATCCTTTTTAATATTATCTTTTGCAGAAAACATGAATGTAGCTACCGCTTCTGAAATAATTATGTCCTCTACTTTAAGTGAGCCATTTTCAGAAGAGAATGATGTAAGTGGACAGGTGGTTAAGTTCATTTACACAAAGAACCATGATAAAGACAGTCAGATCCAACGCACAGGGCAAACTATGACACTCTTCGCGGCCGTGAGAACCGGGCTTAAAACGGCGAGTGATTCTGCAAAAGACTATTTGTCCAAATCATCATCAACATTTTTAGACTTCTATGATTTAGACACATGCTACAACAAATATTTACTATACTATAAACTTCTCCTTCTTAAAGGACCTCAAACTCACAATCTTTTTACTCTCATCTCAGTACTCATGCACTTCATCTTAAAAAATTTGCTGCTATTTCACTATCTAAAGACAGGAAAGAAGCACATGTTTATCTACCACATGAGACCAAATTACTGCCAAATTACACTCTACTATTAACATTCGATACATACAACATACCTCTTAAATCATATACAAACACATCACCAATTTTATCACCTGTAACTTCTGATAAAGAACCTGAATCTTTACCTGCAAATTTACTTTCATTTTTGCAAAATCCCACTAACAATATTTTAAGTTCATCACCTATACCTTCAACATCCATGAACTATACTTCTAGCCATAGTTCTTCTAATTAAAATCATAATCAAATTAGCTCTCATTTTGTATCTTCACAAACTTGTACACCTGCACAAAAGCTTCACGATCTTCACTTAACAATTGCTACACATAATGTTAGAGGTTTCAATAATATAACCAAAAGAGAAGCATGGCAAAATTATTGTCTTACAACAATATCCATATTGCTTGCATTACTGAAACCAAATTGCTAATAGTACAAATCTTCATTTTTGCAATAATAATTTATTTACCTATTTCTGGGCTAACTCAGATAGCTCAGCAGAAGAAACAGCTATTATGATTCACAACCACCTCAAACCTCATATTCATAACTGTCAAACACATCTTGGCAGAGCAATTGCACTTGATCTTTTCTTTAAAAGTGATATAAACTCCGTATTATAAGCGTTTACCTCTTATTTACAGATATCATAAATGTAATGAAATACAAAATACAGTTATTGCATAGATTCAACAAGCCTATCAACTCAACCTTCATCCAATTATACTTGGTGACTTTAACACACACAATAATATTTTCAGTACATCATCTAAATATCGTCTTATCAACTATCTACATCATACTAATATGTATGATCTTGGTGCATATACCAACAACATACATTATACATGGTCAAACAATATTAGCCAAAGCCGTATCGACTATATTTGGACTGACTCATTTAATATTCAGTTCTTTCTCTCATATAATCTTGACAATAGTAATACCTTTATATCTAGTGACCACTCTATTCTTTTATCTTTCTGGCGATTATACCTAATGCAAAATTTCGCTTATACCCAATTACCCAGGATATAACTATTACTAATAAATGTTTTTACTACGCTCTATAACATATTCTTTGAATCCCCGTGAATCCCACAACTTTTTTTTTTGTAATCTGATTGGCCGATTTGCTAAAACTTGAGATATGATTGGTTGACCATCACGTGTAATTGTATAGGAATTATCTACGAATTTGAACGGTCGCACTTGTTGACCGTTATATAAAAAACCATGAAGCTATGTATTAAATTGTTAGATCTGCATTACTATAAATTCTGAGACACTTAAAAAAGAACGAAATGATAGGATTTTAACATCAGCCGACATCAGTAACTTATTGAATATGACTCGATAACCTGACGATTTGGTTACTGGAAAATATGAAATAGTTGAAACACCGACTATATGGAATATTTGCTGACTAAAGATGGGCAAGGTAATTTACTTATTACGTAAAAGTTAAATCACATTATGCGACCTTTTATTATGTTATTAGTTTTAAGTATATATTATTAATAAATTGTCGCATAGTGTGATTTAAATTTTACGTAATAAGTAAATTACTTTGCCCATCTCTATTGCTGACGAAATCGGATTTACTAATTCCCACCACTTCTGATTGGCTGTATTAATTATTCAATTATTGGAGCATTTATATTAGTAATCCAAAAAAAATTTCAAGCAAAATTCGCGCTGTTAGACTAGAATTATTATTTTGGAATTATGTTATAATTATATGACGTTTCTTATACCAAAATTTTGCAAGGAAAATTTTTTATTAATGCGCAGAAGACAGTTTTATATATTGAATTTAAAGTTATGGGCGATTTTTAATTTTTGCAATTTTTTTTTTTTGGCATTTCTTTAACGCTACACTTGCTCGTGAAATTGGATTGGCTCCGATAAAAATAATTAGTACAACCAATAAGAAGTGGTGGGAAATTAGGGCACTCACGGAAATTTAGTATTTGCAAGACTTCAGTACGTTTTCGTGAAAAATTTACCCGTTATCCGCACAAATGTTACACAAATTATTCTCGTGCAACAATCCAAATTTTTTTTTGAAATATAGATTAATACGCGAATGACGTCGACCTTGCATAGATTTAATATATAGATTTCTCACTGGACGGTCTAAAAGGTTACAACTGTTCGAGTTTATAGCATCATCATTACATCTCTTGATTTTATTTGATTTAACTTACAGTACTTAATGAGTAATAAGATCCTTTATAAATTACTATTTGAATAGTCAAATTTACACGTACGTGAGCGTACTGGCCCTGCGTGGCGTCTCGTACTGCACAGCAACCCTAATGATGTAATGAATAACGATGAGAATTTTATACACATTTACATGGCTATGGCTTTAGTTCCCACCATTTGAATATCAGAGGTGCCTCACCATTATTCTCAATGGAGCATTGCCTCGAGCCAAACCCGAATAAGCATTATTAAATGCCCTTCACTTTTATAGATCACTGCACATTTCGGGTCCCGAGTTATATGGCTTGGATTACGTTTTGGTAACTGCAGCCAGGTGACATTATCCAGTTACAACGTACAAATATAGAAAAACAAAGTCACGAGGAAGAATTATCCAATCAGATACCCAGAATTGTACACACCGTTCGTAGTATACTCTGCGGTCTTTGTACTCCATTCCTAGTATAATTTGAATACGTACTTTATTTCAACTATTTAGATCTACCGTGAATTAGACCCAGGTGCAAACCACCAAATCTATATTAAATAAATGCAGTTTTTTCAAATTACTAGACTGTCGATTATAAATATAAAGCACGTATGCAATTTTTAATTTTTTTCTTTTCACGATATAACCTCTCAGCATATACTAGGCCCGGGTCTTGTATACAACAATTTAAAGTACAAGAATATTTATTTCTCAATTTACTTATTTAATTTCAAAAAGATTGTGGATATTTAGGGTAATTAATTTAATTAATTAATTATTTAATTTTACTATAATAATATTAAGGTATTTCGCGAGTTGCTCTTTTCTGTTTTCCAAGCATTGTTTATCATGGGATGTTGGGTAGCTGATCACCTAATACCAATAGAATTAAATATATGTCTAGTCTCTTTTTTGTATTTTTTTTGATCAAGAAATTATAATAATTTTTATAATAAAAAAGAGCAGTAAAAATATTTTTTGTTATATTTCGCTTAATAAGTAATTTCCATTCTAATTTAAAATCTTTTAATCCTTATTGCATTCTTAACAATTTTACATTTTCAATTTTACATATCATATTAAGATTTCAATTGATATAATTAAACTATATATATTTATCTTTTAGTTTGAAATTTTAAAATATGTAAAATTTGAAATGTGAAGTTGTTAAAAATGGATAAAGATAAAAATATTTTAAAATTGGGAAATAGTAAATTATTATTAAAACGAAATATATTTTCATTGTTTTTTTATTAAAAAATTTTGTAATGGTAGCAGTAATAATTTTTGTTCAAAAAATCTATATGTTTGATTCTATTAGGTTATCAATAAACCCAATGAGACGTCAATGATCAATAAAATTTTATTGGATTATTGAACTATTGGAATTTGGAACTCCAATTCTAATATATATCTGATAGATGAATAACCTTTAAATTTTTTTTATTTCGATTTCATTTTCTATTAGCCAATATGGATGTGCTAATTTTAATTATATCTAGTCTAAATTTTTATTGGAATACTTTGGATTGATCCAAATATTCCAATTGCAATATATGCCAATACGAGTATTCAGAGATTATTTTTCACTGTGCGGATTGTGCGCAGCACACCGAAACAAATTTCGCGCGTTTTTTTTTTTTTTGAATAGATGTGCAGATGCCGCACAGAAAAAATTATTTTGTAAATAGTGCGTCACAGTTGCAAACAGTTTCTCGTAGTTATTTTTTGTAGTGGCCGCACATAGAATGTTTATAAATTGTGAGGTATCTGTACAGTAAATTTTAATAAAAAAATTAAACTCTTTAATTTCGAAGATATTAGTTTAAATTATATTACATAAATTAATTTATTCTCAATTTTACATATTTAATTTCGAAGATTTTGGCATTTAATTTTAAGACAATGTTTATTCAATGATTTTATATATTTAACTTCATTTTTAGAATATTAATTACTAAGTTAAAGACGTAATTTCGACGATATAAAGTATTGCTGTTAATGCATGAATCAGTTTATTTAAGCATTAGCAACAACCTGTTTTTTTAGATCGATTAGCTAGGATATCACGGGATTCCAAATTCTTTTGCGGCACGACAATGTAACTCCGTTTATTCTCATATTTCTGCTTAGCAATTCCCATTAATTCTGCAAATTCGCCACTTTTTTCACACATTTTTCTAAACAATCCATCAGACTTCTGCATCAGTAGATATGGTGTATCGAATTCAATTACATTTCCAGCATCTAATTTTGGAAAGAAGGATTAACATTTCAAGTTCATTAAAATTTTTCTTTGAAAAAATATATACCCATAACCAGAATTCTATCATAGTCTACAATAGTTCGCAACCTATGCGCAATAGTGATAACAGTATGATCTTTAAACTCCTCCCTAATTGTAGCCTGTACTAGATGATCAGTTTTGAAGTCTACACTGGCCGTAGCTTCATCCATTATTATCAATTTGGAATGACGAACTAATGCTCTGGTCATTGCAATCAGTTGTTGTTGACCTTGGGAAAAATTTGATCCATTTTCTTTGACAGATGAGTCTAGTATTAATGGTTCTTTGTCATTTCTTTGGTCTGAAATAGAAAGGATGGCTTCTGATTTTTTATTTTCAAAAGTGTTGTTGGAATTTTCAATTAGGTGTACACGACGAAGCGCATTCCATAACTCGAGATCACTATGCTTGTTGAATGGGTCCAAGTTGCTTCTATTTTTTTTTTTTTTTGTAAAAAAAAAGAGATTCTAATAACTAGTTTACAGAAAGGTTTTAATAATAAATATTTAGAATCGAGATGTTTGCTGACCTTATAGTACCATTAAATAGTACAGGATCTTGAGGTATGATAGTAATATTACTTCTAAGGTCTTTTAATCCAATAGTACTAATATCAATATCATCAATTACAATACTTCCAGAAGTTGCTTCAATAAGTCTAAAGAATGACTTTGCTAACGTTGATTTCCCACATCCTATTATTTAAAAGAAATCAATATTGTATGATGATAATTCTCAAACTGAGACCTAAAATTTACCAGTTCGACCAACAATTCCAATTTTTTCAGCAGCCATAATATCAATTGAGATGCCTTTCAAAACTAGAGGACTATCAGGTCCATATTTAATTTCCAAATTTTTAATGTGAATTTCTCCATGAGCTGGCCACCCAGGTGGCGGTCTGTTGTCCGGTATTATATTCTTGGCTTCTACTTCCAAATTTTCACTGTAGTGGATTAAACGTTCTACTGAATTCATATTTGCTTCCTATTATTCGACAATAAAAAAATTAGTAGCTTAAAATAATATTATTAAAATATTTATTATTAAAATATTTATCATTAAAATATTTATCATTAAAAGATTTATTATTAAAATATTTATTATTTACTCACTACTTCAGCAAATTCTTTAGTACACCAACTAAAAACTACAATAAC